CAATATAGGAGTGAGATGTATTTTTGGGTAGGATGAGTCTAGATCCTTAGGAAATAATTACCAGCATCTTAAATTGGGCCATTAAGTCAATAGGAGGACAGAGTAGGTGTTGGAAAACTGGTGTAATCATAGAAGTCGAAAAGCCTACAAGGGCCATCCAGTCCAACCCCCTGCCATACAAGATGATGATGATGATGATGATGATGATGATTATTATTATTCCGTTTATTTATCTCCCACCTTCCTCACAGTTCAAGGACTCAAGGTGGCTAACAAATCTAAAACTGTCCAAGTTAAAGCAGTATAAAATATTAAAATGCAAAGTTTAGAAAACATTAAACAATTCAAACAATTAATATATTACATTATTAAGAATTAAAATTTAAAATTCTTTAATAAACAATCAAAGCACTGTAGCTATGAACTCTCTAGGGGAATTTTTAATTTGCTCAATTAATTAATGGGCTGAGCTACAAACAGCTCATTGGAATTGTTTCCCATCTGTATACCAAGATATAGAGACAAGGGGCAAAATTATCTACATGAATTGTATTTTATTAGGGGAAACACACACCAATGCATGCTCATACACACACTCACACAAGGGCTGGAAAATAAGGGGTGAGATTTGGGATGAAAAAGGCTTCACTAAAGGGATAAATACCACATGCATGGTGGCTCCTTGAGGATGCAGTCTCATGGCTGGAATTGGGACTCAGCTGCTGGGAGCCCTAGGAAGATAGTGTTAGTCAGAACTAGAAGAGTCAGAGACACATGGGATCCCCAAGCACTCCATATTAACACATGGAACAAAGGAATTTGCAGATCTTTTATAAGGCAAAACCTAGCTTCATCAAAGGGCTGAATCTGCATGGGAAAGATCACTGAGATAGAAGTATGTGAAGGAGGGCTGTGGTTGTAAATTGGCATTCTCTGGCAAGGGATGCAAAACATCCCGGCTGTAAATCACCCGGCCTTTTTGGAATATGATGTGCAAATTCACCTTAATTGCAAGTCTCAAACTGCCTGCATGGTCTCTAGCATTCAAGCTCATGGCGGCTCATGTCTACATGACCAGGTATCAGGGAGCTCATGGCTGCTACACAGTTAGTGTGCAATAAGGGTCATAGAAGGATAGCCCACACCACAAAATTGGAAGGCTTCCAGTGCTCATAACAGCACTCTTGAGAGATGTCCATCCAGCCACTTTTTAAAACCTCTGAAGAAGGAAACTCCATCATTCTCTGAGGGAGTATATTCCACTGAACAGCTCTTACCATCAGGAAGTTCTTCCTAATGTTATATAGAATCTCTTCTTCTGTAGCTTGAATCCATTGCCCCATGTCCTAATCTTTAGAGCAGCAGAAAACAAGCTTGCTCCATTCTCAATAGGACATCCCTTCAAATATTTAAATATGGCTATTATGTCATAGAAGTATCCCATCCTTAAGAGAAAATGGGGCACAGAGTTTGGCATCCTCTCAATGACTCCAATTAAAGGACAATCATTCACATAAAGTATATTGTGATCGTCTTACTTAATGTTATGGGGATATCAGGATGGTCACTAAAGCTGGCATTGGTTTTGGCTAAAACTCCCAGGCTGAGATTCAGCATCAAGATTGTATAGCAATCTCCACATGTGAAATTATGGATTAACTGTACTTCACAGAACTTGTGTTGAACAGCACAACTGATCACTATACCACATGCTCTAGATCAGGGGCAGGCAACCTGTTCCCTTTAAGGGCCGAGGGACTTCAGCTCCCAGAAGCCTAAGCCATGTTGGCCAATAGTCCCATGTTGGCCAATAGCTCCTGGGATTCTGGGAGCTGAAGTCCCTCGGCCCTTAAAGGGGAAAGGTTGCCTACCCCTGCTCTAGATAGATAGATAGATAGATAGATAGATAGATAGATAGATAATAGATTATAGTGAAAAAAAATCAGGACTTGAGCAGTGCTGTTGATGACAGGTTGTTGGGGGGGGAGGGGTCTCTCATTTATAGGGTTTCCATAAGTCCAAGCCAACAATGGCAACTAGCAACATAGCAACTAGCAATAACATATCAGAAATTTGTGGGACACCAAAAGAAAGGAAGGAAGGAAGGAAGGAAGGAAGGAAGGAAGGAAGGAAGGAAGGAAGGAAGGAAGGAAGGAAGGAAGGAAGGAAGGAAGGAAGGAAGGAAGGAAGGAAGGACAGACAGCCCTGGCTTCAAAAAGTTAAAGGTAGTCCTGGAAATGCACAAGATACAGGCCAGAACAAGAGGTGTGTTGTATGGATAATTGTTTGTTTGTTTTTTAAATCCCAATGAGTACAAGTAGAAGTCCTACCAAATCCCAAAACCAGGGGTAGGCAACCTTTCCCCTTTAAGGGCCAAGGGACTTCAGCTCCCAGAATCCCAGGAGCTATTGTCCAACATGGGACTATTGGCCAACATGGCTGATGCTTCTGGGAGCTGGAGTTCCTCGGCCCTTAAAGGGGAAAGGTTGCCTACCCCTGCCCAAAACATTTGGCCAGTCTGTCTGGGCCCTCAAACAATACAACATCCTGAGTAGCTGGAGGAAGTGGTGACTCTAGGAGTTTTCTGAAAGATGAAAAACCTGAATAAATAGAGGTGGGCTGAAACACCACTTTGGTACACAGCAAATAAAGAGAAGGAGAAAGGGCAGCATGTCATGCAGTGCTTGCTTGGGCCCTGAATGTCAGCCCCATATTATAGATGTGAATTTACAACAGCATCTATTTTGTGACCCTGCAATTAAGCGGAGGGACAAAAAGCGACATTTACCCAACCGCCTGATTGCTGCTCCTAGCCAAGGTTAGGAGGCCTAAAGACCATCATTTGTGCCTGCAGGTAATTGCCCTCTGAAATTCATGCTTGGGTGGAGATACTTTTAGAATCAGAGTCCTCAATATGGACGTCACATCTCTTTTGAAAAATCAAAACATTTGGTTTACCCTCCCCCCAAAACCCATCATTGCAGTAATCTCTTTGGCCCTCATTTCCATGAGAACAAAATAATGGGGTCGGATGTGGGAGGGGGGAGAAATTCTGGCTTATATTCATGTACACAAAAGAACTAGGAAGAACAAATTGAATGTCTAAATGAACAGGTAGATGAGCTTTCATTAAAACTGTTGCATTTAAAAGACCTATAGACGCAACCAAAGACAGGAGGTTAAAAATCTAATTGAGTAAATCAGCTGAGATGCCAAACACTGATTATATCATTGGGATAAATGCAATATTAGCCATCAAATTTTTCATAATATATGATTATGCACCAAAAGCTATTATTTGAAAAGGGAGTAGAAATAATATTTCCTGCAAATCCCTGACAGATTAAAATGAAAGAAATTATTAGGTAATTTTCCCACCAACACCTGGATATTTTCATATGGCTGATCAAGGGTCTTATGGAAATACAGAGAACAAGCACAAAATGAGCATGTTCCTAATCCCACCATCACCATCAGTACCATTTAGAATAGCCTTTTACACTGGGGTGCCCCTCAGAGGTATTGGACTACAATTCCCATTAACAGCACTTGTAGTTCCATATCGGTCCCCTGCACACCATCTGTTAAGCCTCAGGAGAGGCCACTGCTGTATTGTTTCCCATTGGGTAAGGGACTGAAGGGGGGGCAACTTAGACCATAACAAAGGATGCTAGTCTCAACTCAGTCCTGGGGAAGAAATAAGGGTGCACCACATTTTCTTCCCCCTAGGAGAGAGGTGGGCAACTGTGGCAAGCTGGGGGGACACACTAGCCCCTCGGGTAACCTACTCACTTTCTGTTTCCAAAAAGACCTCCCCTGGGCCTAAATTGGCCCAGAAGAGGACAAAATATAGTGAAAATGTCTTCTACATCCCCTAAAGGACATTTTGGAGCAAGTGCCCCCTCATTCCAAAATACTCTCTAGGGGGTTCTGGGGGAGCATGTGCTTCCTCCCCCCATAGCCCTGAGATCTGGATGCTCTGATCTCCCAGGGCAGGGGTGGTCATGGTGCAGGTGATGAGCTCCATGTGGATTCATCCCATGAGCTGCATGCAAATGACCTGCCAGGCATGGCAAAGGCAAAACACAACAACCACATAGCCCTCTGCATCACATCCAAAAAGGGGCATAGATGAATCTTAAGACAGTGATGGCAAACCTTTTAGAGACCAAGTGCCCAAACTTAAACGTGTTCTGGCACGGGGTGTTGCCCGGTGCCAGGGGGTGGGACTTCCAGATTGAGACATCTGATTTCTGGGGGCTGGACCTCCTCTTCCCCTCACCTGGGTCTTCACCTGCCTCTCTGGAGACAGTTGAAGGCTCAGGCAGGCAGCGGGGAGGAAGAGGAACAGGGATGTGCCTGTTCCTCCTCTTCCCCCCACTGTCCCAGTTCTTCAGCTGTCTCCGGGGAGGCAGTTGAAGGCACAGAAGAGTGGGGGGAAGTAGAGGAACAGTGTGCACCAATTTCTCCTCTTCCCACACTCCTGTGCTTTTAACTGTCTCTAGAGAGGCAGTTGAAGCAATAGGAGGACGATGCTGGCCAAGCATAACTCCAGTGCTGAGACCCATCTAATAAGAGAATGTCCAATTGTTGTTGTTGTTGTTGTTGTTGTTGTTGTTATGTGCTTTCAGGTGGACTGTGATTTATGGCAACCCTGTTGTAGCATTTTCTTGACAAGATTTTCTTGCCTCCCACTTCAGTAGAGAGGGTATTACTCGCTCAAGGACACCCAGTGGATTTCCATGGTTGAGCAGAGCTTTAAACTCTGGCCTGCTAGAGACCTAGTCCCCAACTCAAATCCATGCTGGTTCTCCTTGATCTTTTAGTGAGAGCCAATGTGTGTGGCATAGTGGTTTGAGCAGGGGTAGGCAACCTTTCCCCTTTAAGGGCCGAGGGACTTCAGCTCCCAGAAGCCTCAGCCATGTTGGCCAATAGTCCCATGTTGGCCAATAGCTCCTGGGATTCTGGGAGCTGAAGTCCTTTGGCTCTTAAAGGGGAAAGGTTGCCTACCTCTGGGTTTGAGTATTAGACTACAACTCTGGAGATCAGGGTTCAATTCCCTGCTCAGACATGACACCTACTGGGTGATCTTGGGCAAGTCACATGCTCTCAACCTCAGGGGAAGGCAATGGCAAACTTCCCCTGAACATATCTTGCCAAGAAAACTCCAGGATAGTTCTGCTTAGGGTTGGCTTAAGTCAAAAATGAGTTGAAGGCACACAACAACACACAATTGTTCTAACAGATGCTCTTTGAACATCCCATGGTGGCCTTAGTGGACTGAGCAACCAAAGGGGAGAAAGCCTATATGATGTTTAAGTGACAAATAATGAAGGGGACCTAGATTCTATAATGTCCCAAAGTCTAAAACACAATGAAGGGACCAAATGGCACCCTTAAACTATTTTTTGAAAGCTGTTTGCTACTGTAGGAAAAGGGTTTAATGTGCCAACTGTGATAATAATGGACAGTTCAGCAGAAAAGGAAAACACCAATTTGTTCACACTGTCTTTTTCAGTATCTGTTCTTCCCAATACCATTGAAACTCTGGCATCTGCTGCCCTTTCTTATAAGGTATAGAACAAACCACAAAGACAGCAGTGATTAACTTGAATTTATCTCTAGCTGGCAACAGCACTTACTTGAAGACGCAGAAATGTGGGGTGGGAGGGGGAATGCACACAACAAACAAAGATTTGATAAAATGTTAAAAATATGCAAATAAGCCCTAACAGAAGGGCCTTGGGCTCTCAATTACACCAATTACATTCTAATTACAGGCAGTACCATCAAGAGCTTTTCAAAACCCACATCTCTTCTTAAAAGTATCTGTCAGACTAGCTTCTTTGGAATGAGAACATTACATTAGTATGCAAGATTGAACTATCTTCTCTCACTCCCTTTCATAGGAAACTGCCTCCCTCCATCCATAAAAAAGAAAATGATGACATACCACTCCAGCACAAATCTGTACATTTGCTGGGCATTATAGGCCATGGTTTAGCCCTGTTTGGCCCAACATGCTTAAAATGAGTGGTAACTGGCCTAGACAACTTTTCTGACTTCAGCTAAGTTGAATCCAACAAACACCTTTGCCTAGTTGTAACATTTGTCTAAGATCCTGTACACTTTTAACATGGCACAAATGCACACCAATGTTGTTATGCTGGATGCACAGTTGTGCAGGTGACTATACAACAATTGCCATAGCCTTGAGTTCACATGTGGTCAGATAACTCCCCAATCTGTAAGTTAAAAGAGAGATGGGGTTGTATTTATGCTTTTGGAACCATTTGCAGGACTAGGGATTGCAGTTCCAGGACTTTTGAGGAAATGTAACTGCTCACACAGCTATTGTTATACTAGCTGGTACTCCAACAGGATTCCAGCCTCTGTAACTAATGCTTGCAAAGGCATGGGATATGCAACAAAGGAGCCACACTTAAGAGGATGCAATTCTTAATTGTATCTTTAGTTAGATGCTACTCTAGATTGCTATAACTTATTTGGCATTCTCCATTATCCTATGTGTATAATGCTTTGGTTCCTAGTGGTCAATTGTTAGGTTTACAACACTCCTGCATGGTGACCTACCAGTTGATGGGCTAAATATGATCCATTTAAAGCCTGCCAAAGAACAGAAAGTAGATGATGAAGAGATTAAAATAGTTCAAGATTTTCCATACTTGAGCTCAATCATCAATGAAAGTGGAGACTGCAGTCAAGAAATCAGAAGACTAGGACCTTTAATCACCTAATCTCAGGCATATGGCTTCTCAGAAGTAAGACCCACAGATTCTAGCAGGTCTTATGACTGAAGAGACAGTGGCCCTTAATGCTAAAGAGTTGCATCCTTAGGCCCAGGGCTGTATGAATACACAAACGTTCAGATCTCCTTTCTGTGATAAAGTTTACAATTTGAGAACTTGAACAGGGCAATGAGAGCATGGAACAACCCTCCAAGGCTAGGCTTTGGGACTGCCACTCCCCTCCCCACCGTGAAATGAGTGGGGGGACACAATGTCCACATGTAGATATAAATGGGGTCACAGGGTTAGAAGATTTGAGAACCACTGTCCTTGATGATGTAGAGTGGTGGGGAGCATCAGGTAAGCATCCAGCTATTTTCCTATAACTGGACGCCCTGAGACAGGCATCCAGAGGGACTTCTGGTTATTATGCAGAGATCATGGCAGATAATGTCATTGCTCTGCATCCAGCTGTAGAGTAACATTTATTTGTTGTTCCCCTCACTCTTCATTGACCAGAAAATGATCGGGTAGGTTGTGAGGGGATTGGATGCATGACTATCATATAATTTTGTAGCAACATCTTTTGATACAGCATCACATCCATCACTTCTTTGGGCCATACCTTCATTGTGGGGAAGATCACAGAGAAAGTCTGATGAAGTGGACAGTGTGTGAAAATGCATACTATTGCCATAATAATCCTAATTTATGGTAACATGAACTTCTATGTTGTGAATGTGAATGTGCATCAACTTGCAAAAGGGGCTGAAATGTCTCTGAGTGCCTGGTCCTCCTTCCTTTCAGACTGAATCCAGTCTTTGGATGGTCTGGACTCTTAAAAGATTTTTTAAATGGGGGGAGATGAGGTGGGAACCTGCAGGAGACTGAAAATCCACAAGGTTGTGAGTTCAATACCAGCCAGGGCTCAGGCTCGACTCAGACTTGCATACTTCTGAGATAACTAAAATGAATACCTAGCTTGATGGGAGCAATTAGCTTACAGTTATAAACTGCTTAGAGACTGCATAGCGCAGTATGAAGCAGTATATAAATGAAGCTGCTATTGCTATTGCTAATCTTGCCAAACCACACATAGAGCCCTTTCAGACAAGAAAGCATTTGAAAGTCCCAAGACTTGTTCCTGAACAAACTCATTTTATTTTGGAGATCCATAATTCATCCCAAATTATTTCCTGGGAACTCCTAGCATTATGAGAATTTTTCATTCCTACTTCCCAGTTTAAATTAATGAAATGCATTTCTGCTTGACCATCTGTATTATCCCAGAACTAGTTAAGGACAACAATTCAACAGAGGAAAAGAGGAATGATTGCCCCCAAACAAAATGATCCTAATATTTAATCACTGTAATAGTACTAAAGCACTTTAGTACTTAGGACTTTATCACACGACGGAAATCCCATGCAGAAACGGGGTTTTTAATACAAAAAAACTCACAAAATCAGGTAGATTTTCAGACGACATCACTGTTAAAGTGTGGTTAACCCAAACAAAGTAGTCAAAAGTTGCTTCTTTTTACTTTCAGAAAATCCCGAAAGTAAAAAGGAGTGGCTTTTGACTACTTTTCGTACAGGTTAACCACACTTTAACAGCGATGTGTGTGAAAATCAACCTGCTTTTGTGGGTTTTCCCCACCTTTTAAATTCCATTTCTGCATGGGATTTCCCCCAAGTGATAAGGTTCTTAGACTATGGCCTTGTCTACATGGTCCAAAAGCATGTTCTATCACCACCCTTTCCCAATCTGGTGTCATCCTATTCAGATGATGTATGGTCCAAATCCCAGTTCTGGTGCAAGCAGTCCAAACAACAAAATGGGGGGGCCAGGTAACCAGGAAAGGTGTGGGCAGCTCCGAGACCAGGATACTCCCGAATACTCCCAGAGTATCCTGGCTAGCCAAACACAGCCTATAACTCTTCAACAATAATAACACAGAAGGCTTGATGGAAATAGGTGGAAATCAATTTCTTTTTTTTAAAAAATAGATGTTATTATTAAAATTCTAAACATTCTAAAACATACACAACTATTCTAGACATCAGACATACACTGTTCTAAATATTACACATATAAAACATTTAAAATAAGACAAAACATAAAATGACTTCCTCTCCTTCACTTTGAATATTTCTATTATATCATTTCTTTTTCTGACTTTCTAATTCTTGATTAATTTTCATACTAAACAATACTCATTTAATCTTCATACTAAACAGTTTCTGAAATGTTGCATGAGTGTAGATGGGATACTTGATCAGAGGGAGGGCTAAGAGGAAGAACACAATGGAGTGGGAAAGCAAGGAAAGCCAGGATATTTCAAGAAAGAGTTGGATGTAAACTTGGGAATGCATAGGTAAAATGAAAACAAAAGAACTGGAAACTCTTGAGATTTTTCCCCCTTTCTGTATGAGCTCATAGACATTCTGTGGTTTACTGAGTTTCCCAAGTATTTCCCAAGCATAGAGACCCAATCTGTGCTTAGAACTACGATACTTTACAGCTTAAGCATCCTGCATTGACAGCCCCTCTGTCAAGACATGTTCTCTTGCCATAACATATTGGCTAGGATCAACGTGGTGATACCAAATGATAACCTTTTCATCTATTCTTTTTCACTTGCATGCCTGCTCAACCACCCGCAAGGCCTTGACAGGCTGGGATGTTGATATTCTTGGCACAAATATAGATACAAGGTTCTTTAAAGGGGGGGAACCATGGTGATTTAGAGCAGACACCACCACTGCCAGGTTCAGTCTGTTTCTTCATTCCTTCTGATTTATTTAAATCAACAGGCTCCCTGTGGATGCTACATTAGTCTTCCCACTTGGATGTAAGGCTTGGTTTTTAATGAGCATTGGTATAAAGGGGAAGGGGGAACTTTCTAGGGAAGCCCAAATGGTTACATCTTTTTTCCCACTTGGGAAAAGAGAGATGCTTTGACCCCTTGAAAGTGTGGGACTTTGTCCTCCCCAAAAGGACTGGGAAGGGCTGGCATTATTTGTGGCATCTGAAGGGAGCATCCCAAAGAGATCCATTTTGTCAACCCCACATTAAAAGCTACACAACACTCACATGTTGTCTCATGGCATGGAAGCTTATCTGTAAACTGCCTAGATTGGCCTGCCACCGGGCGGTATATAAATTATTATTATTATTATTATTATTATTATTATTATTATTATTATTAAATCTAAAGATTGGCTTGAGATTATGAAAGGCAAAAATAATGCACTGAGGTCATATTTCTCTCTTCTTTCATCCCTGGCTGACCAGAACATGTCATAATTTAGTAACTGCA